TATCCGTGCGTTTTCACAGAAAAAAAAAATTAAAACTGAAAAAAGCAGAAAAAATAATAATAATAATAATACGGTTATTTTTCCTATTTTTTTTTTTTCTTGTTAATAAAGTATACCTATATTGTAATTATTTTATATTATTATAGTTACAGCGATCATGTCGGCCGTAATAATATAATGCCTTTTTTTAGAGTGGAAAAAAAAAACCGAGGGATATAATATTATTTATTTATTTTTTGATATTGTTATACTTGTTTTATCATGATTATTATTATTGTTATTGTTGGTATTATTATTATTATTTTTATTCAAACCGAGGGCCGTTTTCAGTTTGTATGGTTGGCGCTTTCCGTTGCCGTATTGCAACAACAGCACGGGCGAATCGTCTAGTAACGGAAACGGTTCTTCTTACACTTCCGACGTAGAGAAAGTCCCTTTGCCAGATATGAACTTTGTGTTGTAAGAAACGTGTTGTCTCTTTAATTATTAATTTAAATTTTTTTTTTTTTTTTTTTTTTTTTTGATTTGGTTTGGTCGCTTGTATATTAATAATATTCTTTACACGATAATAATTTATAATATTATTGTTATACTATACCTTCCTATACACTCTGTATTCTACTCTCTCCTTTGTTTTTTTTTTTTTGTGTGTGTGTGTGTGTGTGTGCGCCTATTTTTTTTTCTTATATACGATTTCTTCTCGCGTTGTTTTTGTTTATTTTTCTATTTTGGTTTTTATGTTTCACACGATTATTAGTAAATATTTAAAAAAAAAAAAAAAAACAAAAGAAATATACAACATCAACAACGGGATCGGGGCACTTTTCCCGGGGTCGTGAAAGAAGAGTGAAAAAAAGATTAGATTATGCGAAACGGAAGTGAAAACCTAACCTACCTGTCGGTCCGAATAACCCCGATACTGCTTCAAGGAAGTTCTGGCGTCTAAGTGTCCTATAACCTGAAACTTAGTCGATGAAAAACCACGACGGGTTTTTGATAAAGCAGAGGGGATAGTGAAAAAACCGTGTCGGGTAGGTCAGGGTATTCTTAGTTGGTGCAACTGATCGGATTTTCGTTATTCGACTTTTTACATCACCGAGAAAAGTGTCCCGCGGACAATAAAAGCACGGATGGGACATATTATCAGCTTAACAGTGATAACTACAGTCACCGCTACAGGTTTCATATAATAATAATACGTTGTATAATCTAAGGCCTTACTTATTTACCACTATATTTTATGGTATAATCATATTTTATAGGCTTATCACTGGTTATCAGTTGAAAGCCACGACTTCTCGTCGATGGCACAGATATACAATTCAAATAATTTAACAATTTATGTTTATAATATAACACAGTAGTACACTAGATTACTAACTATCAAAATATTACCGCGATATTTGCATATGAAACAATTGATTGATGCGCCCGTTTTTGAGACAATCAAAATCCCATCGCGTACACATAACTATGATATCGGATATTACTAAAAGATAGTACGGTGATAATGGCGAATAACTTATTACTCTTATCATCGCCGTAATTCCCACGAAAATAGCGGATCATTAAAGGCGTCATTGAATCTTCTTGTAGTCAGCAATCCGTACGCAGCGTAAATACTTATGAGAAACGTGTGTGGCGGTGTCCCATCCGGGTCTTTATAATCCGTATAATGCGTGTCGACAGTACCGACGACAACAGCCGCGGTAATCTTCGTTTACTGCGGATAGCGCTGCGTAGTGAGCAAAAGTGGCGCGTATAAGTAACAAATTCCCATTTGTTTATAATATATATATATATATATATTTATATGTAATTGTGCGTTACGGTTCCGTCTGTTGCGCGTAGATATCGCTGCAGTATTTTATTTGATAACAGTATGTATAATGACAGTATTATCGTGTTATTGTATCTATAGTTTTGCGTAGTACTTGACGCATTTTTTTTTTTTAACGGCAGGCGTATTATAATAATAATATTTAATTACGCGACGACGGACTGCGGCTTTAGTTCATATTAACACACGGCTCCGCTGCAGCGCTGCGAGCATTTATGTATAACGCACGGTGCCGGGGACCTGTAATGCGCTCCCGCGTGTAAGGTCTCCTACGCCCTTAACGAATATTTATAATAATAATAATAATATACCCGTGTTACACACGCGCATAATAACACCGTAAGCTTTTAAGCCGTTTTAGTATATTTAATACTTGAACCAATTATTATTATTATTATTAACGTCGCTAATTCGCTTTCCTTTTTTTTTTTTTTTCTTCTATTTTTCGCCGCTTTTGCGACGTATATATTTAAATATATGTATACGAAAATTTGCGGCGTTCTGAAAACGCCGCTCGAACTTTTCTCTCGAACAAAACGCCTATGTTATTATCTACCTGTACAATATTATTTAATAGCCGCGAAATATTAACGTACACCCGTGCGTTTGTAAATATTATATTATTAATGTAATGCGTTTGGGTTTGTTTTTTTTTTTTTTCCTACAGCGAGGGCAAAGAACTTTTGACCAACGGCAACACCTATCAGAGCAACAACATGCGCATCGAACCCGTCGACATGTAAAAATAATATTATTTTGATAATAAAAAAAAAAAAAAAAGAAAGAAAGAAAGATTCTGAGCGAAGATCAATATTAAACGTGTTGTTTTGTTTGATAAATGTTTTAAATTAAAAGTTGTATATTTTATTCGTAACCGTAAAAGTAAATTACTGCGACGTTACTCGTGTTTTTAATAAATTTTAACTCACAAAATTCCTATCCACATGAAATCGATTTAAACTCGGCCGTTTCAAATAGCTATGACAAAAAACCTCACCAAAAAACGCACGAATATTTTTTGAAAATTATACCACGTATATAAATTATCAATATAAGTGTTCGGTGATTGCGTGGGTAGGTAAAATATTGTTCCGTATTATTAAAAAAACTACAAAGGAAATCAAAAGATATGTCCTCCCCGGCACGCCAACCAGACAAATTTTGCCAACAGAAACCATCCTCAGGACGACTGTGTTTTGTCGATCGGAGCGAGGTTGCTGGTTGAAAAATTGTTTTGCAAAAGGAAAAAAAAAACACATTCGTTTAGTAAAACTCGCTCAGAGTCTAATTATTTAATACGCCCCTTTTTCGTCGAATTTTCCCCAAACACTATTGTGTCTGTTCTGACATTTTACCGTTTATCTATTTTAGCCTTGATTTCGGACACTTTTCTAGCGGCTATAACCCGTGGACCAAAATGACCTTAAACTCGAGAATTAGATTTGTTTTGTCGGCTGATTGGATCTGAATATGAATTTGATCGCGTTGTTACGCGAGGCAGGGCGATTAATTTCCCTTAAACTTCGCACGGCGATAGTATCAGCGCCGTCGGGCCTTTCGACGGTTTCAACTTTCAAAATCCCTCGACCCCCCCCCCCATCGTTTTTTTAAGAATATATCTCTGTACACAGCGCAAAATAGGCGGGCGAAAATTCGACTGTAAAAATAGCGACGGAGGGTGTTTTGTTATTTTTTCGATAATTTTTACTAAAACGTGTGCGTGTGTGTGTGTGTGTGTGTGTTTTCGGGTTTTCGTTCGCAGGCTGAAAAAGGACACCGAAGTGGAATACGACGTCAAGCGGTCCGTGTCGCAGACGCGTTTCGTCGGCAAAGATTCGGCCGTCTAAACAAACGGAGCGGCCAGCGTCCGTGTAAAACAAACAAAAAAAAAACAAAAAAAAAACCAAAAAACGGTGCGAACAAAACCCGCGGCGGGGTTGCACAGCGATTTCACGACTGAAGATTTACAGAAAAGAAAACTTTTAAAATTCACAATATTTTATTCAAGAAAAGGCTGTGTTTTACCGGCATTTATATTATAAATAATAATAATAACGTGTAATTATTTACGTTTTTTTTTTTTTTTTTTTTTTTTTTTTTTTAACGCTATATTATTATTATTGTGACTACGACGATATTTTACTACTATATACCTATTTACAATACTACTACTACTACTACTACTATACTACTACTACTACTACTACTACTCCTACTACTACGCAATACGATAATGATATTATTACGTACGCGTGTTTTGTGTCTATTTTTAAGCGTTTTTTTTTTTTTTTAAATATTACGGAGTGTTTTTTCGACGTACCTGCCTATTTACGCGGGAAGAATTTCGAAAAAAATAATAATAATAACGTTTGGCTGTTTATTATTATTACGATACTTTGTTGTTTTCGACAATTTCGCATATATATATATATTATACTCACTATATAAATAATCCCGATTTTTATTTTTTACATTTTTTTTTTTTTTTTTTTTTTTAAACTTTCACGCCGTGTGTTCGGTGGTCAAAACGATATGTGATTTATTATAATAACATTATATACCTGCTATTGCCTATGACCAGATGGCGTTGTAGCTATGTATATGACAGGTATATATATATATATATATATATATATTTTAAAAACGACGAAAAAACAAAAAAAAAAAACAAAAAAAAAATGAAAATATATTTATAATAATTGTAAATTTTTTTTTTTCTAGCTCTCTTTTTATACACACGTTTTGCAGGGTTTTAATACGATTATAATATTCGGTCATTTTTTTTGTATTTTTTTTTTCCCCCATCCCAAATGACTATAACGACTAACTAATAATGTCTATAATACACAATAATTATGCATTGCCCTGTGACTCTTTTTTTTTTTTTTATACATATACATATATATATATATGTACAGACGCAAATATTTGTCGAAAATCAATTTACAATTGCTTGGTACTTAAATATTATACTATCTCATTATTAATTATTATAATCATTATTGTGTAAAATTTTGTTTTTTTTTTTTTCGACAAAAAAAAACCTATTTTGTGGTATTATTAATGTAACGTTATTATTATTTTATAATTACTATATATAAAATTATAATTTTTTTTTTTTTTTTTTTTTTGTTCCTATGATAATTATAATAATATTTTACTTACCATAATATTTTTTTAAAAATTATAAACATTTCGTGTGTATAGCTATTTATATCGTGTGCAATTTGTGTTATTCGGTTTATAAGTATAATACTATAATATTATAATTACATTTATATTATGAAACTCGCGAGTTCTTCTCGGCCGCCGCTCGCGAGTTAGCGGTTCGCTTTTGTAATTGATCGCATTAACAAATAATATTACTGTCGTTCATGTGCGTTTTATTATTTTCGATTTCGGAGGAATAAAACGAAAAATTAAAAAAAAAAAAAACAATAAAACTCGCGGCGGTACAAACAACACGGCGGATCGCCGAATCGATTCCGTGCCGATCGCGTCGAAAAACGGATCACCCGATTCTCCGCGTTTATCCCGTTCGTCGCGTGATACGATTTTACGGGTGTTTTTTTTTTTTTTTTTTAACGTTCAAGCTTTTAATACGCCCCCTCGTCCCGCGGCAATACCGAATGTCTTTGTGCGACGACCGAACGTCGGCCCCGTTTTCCGAACCCCGTCCGCGGGAAACGAACCGTCGTGGTGATAAATGAAAACGATTCGACGTGACGCCGCGTCCGTCTTGAAAATCCGTTTCGACACCAATTAGCTTACCCGCACGCGTCACACGCGCGGGATAACGACCGCGGGTTCGGTTTTCGGCCGATTCGGTTTCGACCGGTGACGCGACGACGGCACCGCGAACGGTGGTTCGTACAGCCCGGAACGCCCGGGGGCCGTCGCGCGGTTTTTCGGCCGGCGAGGTGCCGCGGTGCGCGCGTCGGTTTTCCACGGGAATGATGTCGAAACCAAACGCGCGACCGTCGCGCGTCGCGAATTCCGTCGGATAACCGAAACCGTCTCGGCGCGGAACAATCGAAAACGGCGAGTGTCGCCGAAAACCGCGGGTTATCGCGCGAAACCGTTTCGGTTTCGGTTTTGATAAAAAAAACCCCCCGTTTTCTCGGAGCCGGCTGTTCCGAAAATAATCCGCACCGTTCGTTGCGCTACGCGTAATAATGTCGCGTAACCCGACGCGCTTAAAATAGTCGATAAGTTTTACATTATACCTGTACGTTAATATTAATTATTGTTCTCTATATACGTATATTCTCCTGTTCTCGGTTGTTCCGTCTCTCGCGGACTTGCCGACTATCGCGTGTTTTTATTATTTTTGTGAGCGTTTTTTTTTTTTCCTAATATTTTTATTTTTTTTTTTTTCTCAATTCCCGTGTAATATTTCATAGCTATATTATTGAATAAAAAAATGCTTAATATATATATATATACATATATATACATATATACTATTTTTTTTTTTAGGTACGTAACGCGTTACAACGCGTTAATATGTTTAAGGTGTTCTCCCGTTCAACGCGCACAAACCGAGTGCGCATCGTTACGTTTACCGTAATAATAATAAAATTTTCGGAAAACGATTATATTAAATCGACATTACGTTACGGCACGTATTCGTTTGTATATAAGCCGTTTTGAACGCGCGACGCGAAAACCGCGGTGTCGTATTGTTCCGGACGAAAACGTACCGTACCGCGTACATTAACCTATTTGTAACGGTATAGATACCATTATATTTTAACAATAATATTTTAAACTAAAAATGTATACATATATACACATACGTGCATGTATTATGACGAGTACGCGGTGAGCCTCGGCTAAACACCGACGTGATTTCGTCATTACAATCCGTCGGCCTATTATTATATATAAAATATAATTATTTTTTCGCTGAAAATACAATTTTTTTTTTTTTTTGCTCGTGTTTGTCAAAAAACTCGTGTTTTTTTCTCTCATCCCCGTGCTGTCTTCTGCGTCCCGTCGTCCGCCGTCTCCTCGCGCCCGTACCGGGCAACGTCCCGCGCGCGAGCGGTCCGCACAAACGAACGACGGCGCGTTCGTGTGGCTCGCTCAGAACGCTTGCCGGCGTTTACGGTCGTTGGCCGGATGGCGTCGCCGATCCGCGCTCGCGGACGCTTATCGCGTCGGGGCGGGTCAGCAAACGCACGCAAGCCAATCAAATGACAACGGACACGCCGAGAAACAAGCGATACGCGTTTGACCGCGTTTTCACACGATAATGAAATTGTCGTTATTATTGTTTGTAGAACGCGATTCGTACAAATGTTCGGAGTGCCTAATTGACATTGTAACGTTTTTTTGAAAACGACACCGTTAGTCCGTTACAATTATAGTACGTAACGATAACGATTGATAACAGCTGATGATTGCGATGGGTGTACAACCGTTATGTTTGGGTTCGCGTTCGTCTTGAGAGCTGAGATCCACCTATAGCAGTGCTACAATCCTATAATGGCGCAATCCTATGCGTCTGGACGAACCGTTCATAAGCGTGAGCGTTGGCACGAACACCGTAAACCTCCAACACGAACGCGCCCTAAATACATCCGCTTCCGGGGTACAACAACGGCATTATTTTAAGTATTACGTCGCGTATAGGCAACTGTGATGAAAATTGTTGGGAAAATAAAAAACATGTCTATTGGAAAAAAATATTCACTTTCTTCGGCTCCTATGTGTAGTACCGCGAGTACGTAATAATAATTTTTTTGTGTAATTTACAGTGAAATTATTTGTTCGATAACACGTGTTCGCGTAAAACAAAAAACCGTAGTTAGTTTCGCTCGTTATGAAATTTAACGACAACAGTAACTCAACAGGGTTGATTTACTTAAACAGTGGCCATTTTTTTTTTTTTTACAATGTTAAACCGTGACTTAATAATATGATGACGTTCCCCGTAGCCGGTAATAAAAGCCAGTGTTTTTCAATTTTTGTCACCGTCTATTTTACTCGTTTCGCGATAAAACGATTTTCCGATACGGCGGTTAATGTTCGAAAACGCTCACACCGGCGACGTTCACGCGCGGACGACCGTTTTCCGGAAAAAAAAAAAAACGTCCCGTCCTGTTCGGGCAATCGTCTCGGCCGGCGCAAATACAGTTTTGCCGACGAGCGAATCGAAGGACCCGGCGTAAAAACGACGTTTGTGTTACTCTTATAGAATCCTTATTGTCCGTATAATTCGCTGTGTTTAAAGAAAGAAAGAAAAACCAGGACTTTTACTGCGAGTAAACGTCAGTATGAGCGCGAGTTTTTAGAGCGTTTATTATTATTATTTTTTTTTTTCTACCGTTAATTAAACATCAAAACTTTGAACGCTTTTTTACGTCTCCCGGTTCCTCGTGCGTCGACGCCTCCGCCGCGTTGCACCCGGGGGTTTTTTCCTCCGCCCCCCCTCCTCCCGGACCGGCGAACCGTGCGCCCGTGTACACCGGCGAGCCTTCGGGCTCGCACCCAGAGGCCTCGTCGTTTCGCGCGGAAATATCGTAACACGCGACGTGCGTGTCGTGCCGCGCGCACGAGACGGCGGCGGCGTCGGCGATAACACCGCGGACGGTCGCGCCGGTTCGACGCGATGCACGCCGCCGGTACGGGCACAGCGTATGTATTTGGGCGGCCACGTCGGATCATTTGCGCGGCGAACGGGACGAAACGGCACGGCTACACGTGCGCTGCGCGCGGGACGACGCGAAAAGCGTGTTTCGCAATTTTAATCCCGCGCACGGCGGAACTCGCTGGGAGAAACAATAACAGTTCCGTGGGATTTGTTCTTCACCGCCGCCGCCGCTCGCTACAGCATTTGCGCGCGCGTTTCCCGCAACGACCCGTTCACAATGACGACGACGTCGGCGGCGGTTTACGTTCCGTTTTTTTTTTTACTTCTTCTCTATCGCCCAATATCGAAGCGGCCCCAAGCACGGGCGTACACCGAATGAGGGGGGGGGAAGGGAGGGCAAGGGAGAATACGTCCGCTCCCTGGCTTTTTAGCGCTTAAAATATTACGGCCACTCGTACACGATATACGTGTAAACGTTAACTTTAGGCGAACTAATAATAATTCATTAACAACGATACGATAGCGTAATACACAATGTGTACCCGGTATACTTATGTTATGCTTATGTGTGGTAGCACTGTCCGCGTACCGAATTGAAATGTTAGTTCTATAGCCGTATAAAACTATATATGTACTTACATTAACCGTATACATACGGTTACAATTCCAATCATGGTCGTAAGCATGAATTTCTTATAGGAACTCGGCTTTATCGATTATAAACTGCCGAGTAGGTAGGTGTTGGCCAAATATGTTTGTGTATCGGTTACGAATACATTTCAATTTTATTTTCGGAAACAAAAAAAATTACGCTTCATATAGTTAATCAATTAATCGTCCGTCGAGTCATTGAGTCAATCATCGAGATAAATATCGTTATAAAATACAATATACCTCCCCTTTAGATTTTTAAGTAAACAGCCAAGAGCGTTTGGACAACACTTGGTCCCGAGTTACTTTTATATAGAATTATAAAAAAAAAATTACCTACCCCAAATGCTATACCGGTTCGAAAACTTGTTCATAGATGGGAAAAATATCAAAATATAATAATATACAATAAATTATAAAAATCGTCACGATCGGAAAAATAATAAAATATTTGATACTGTTCACGGGTAGGCCACTATTGTAGAAGAGAAGTTGAGAAATTTGGAAGAATACATGATTAATTCCTGCTAACAAAATACTATTCTGAGCAAAGTTCGATTACATAGGGTGTCCCATTAAGAACTCAAGATTTAAATTGCCCAGTATTTTTTGTTTTATGTGTTGGCTGACCCGTTTTTCTTATTATTATTATCTATAAACTCTCCGAAATGAAACGCTGTGAAGGTTTTATTGATTTATTTTATTTGTTTCTAACTTTCTGTTTGTAACCGTAGTGCGGCTAACTATTCAAGAACGCGTTTTGGTTGTTAAGTCTTTTTATTGCCATAATGAAAGTTATGCCAAAACAATTTACCGTCCTATATGGATCGTGGGTTGAAATGAGGCTCCTAATGAGTCAACAGTTTGTCGATTGATAGTTAAGTTCAACGAAACTAAACTGAACCAAACGCGTTATTGAACAGTTAGTCGCACCAGGGTTACAACAGAAAGTTAGAAACAATTAAGATAAATCAATAAAACAAAATAAATCGGTAACACATTCATTGCGGAGAGTTTATAGATGATAATGATAAGAAAAACAGGTAAGCCAATTCAAAAAATAAAAAATACCGGGCAATTTTGAATTCGGCATTCGGGACACTATATCTATACATGTTTGAAATGTCTTAAACGTAAACGTTTAATATTAACGATTTTCGTAAAAATTTAACATTAAAACGCTTATTTTTATAAAGTTTTATCACTAAATACGTCTTATAAAAATCCTCATGATAAATTTTAAAGCATTTCAGTGAATTTAAATAATTGTATCCACATAGTACCTGCATAATAAAACTGAAAAATAGTTTTATCTAATTAATGCATTTTTAATGCACCAACTAGATCCAAAATGTTATAAAAAAAATGTCTCTTGACGTTTTTAAGTAAGAATAACTTTTGGTAGAAAAGTTGTTGCAGGTAGTTACAAAAAAAAAAGCATACATTATAGTAAAACCATAAATACCACTCTTGGCTCAGAATTCAAAATGACTTGGAATGAATTACTCCAAATTCCGATGAGTTTTTCAAAAGAAGTACCGCCGAGCAGAAATCGTGTTTATTTTGAGGAACTGCGTGAAAAATACGGCACATTTGTTTAACCGAAATAAAAATAAAATGCTATTATTCAGAAAAAATATTGAGAATTTCGTGGACTAATATCGTACCACCGGACGAATAATCTAAGCATTTTTACTAACCGTAACAGTATTTCGCAAGAAAATAAATCACGTCTTTGTAGAACTAATATTGTAATTTTAGCTTCTTCGTTGTACTCGGAATTAAAAAATGGCGATACGCAATTTAATACGAGGATAAGTTTAAGTACTGCAAAAGACTACACCACATTTTAAAAGGAGATATTTTATGACCATCTTATTTAAGTATAATCATCCGGATTACAACGCCACTACAGTAATTATATACACCGCTTATATATAGACACGAGTTTCAAGATTATACTTGATTTACGTGTTACTAAGTGTATCGTGTATCGCGATATTATTTTAAAAAGTATCGTATGTCTTGCGCTTTTTTTTTTTTTTTACAAAAAATACAGCAAAAAACAAACGGACATACTGTGCACT